TCCCACAGCTGAGCTGCTAAAAATGAGAGATTTTCTTGTCTGGATCTCTGACAGACGGACTTCAATCTCGTAAAGTTTTTCTTTTAAGTTTTCGCTGCCATTTTTCATGAATGAATGGACACTTCCTGATATCTGAGGCAGGAATCATAGCCTTACTGTATATGGTGTATTTGGGGTGGTAATTATGCTAATCTCCTCTCGCATGCACGAGCAGCTGGGTAGAACAGGTGGAAATTTACGCAGCTCATTTACGCACGTTTCCTGAAGATAGAAGTGTTTGTTGAATCTGACGTGACATGTTCGTACGAACCCTTTGTATGAACAAAAGTAAGAGAAATTTAGGATAARAATACGAACATGTTCTTGCATGAGGCCCCATGTGTGTAAATGAGGAGAYAAGTGCAACAGTAAAGCTTCAAGTAAGTAAACTTTATTTCTATAGTACCTTTTACACAGTGGTATGCCGTCAGGGCCAGCAAAGCCTTCTCTGCTGGCCTAAACACAATCAGAATCACTACATTATAGAATTTTTTATATTTATTATAATGGTTATTAATATTATTWTTTTTAGGATAAAATTATTTTTGAAACATCTGTTCTCTTTGTTTCATAGTTTTTCTCYTKGCTGTGCAGCTTCCAGCAGCTTGTATTATTTTAGAGGTTTTATCCAATCATATTTTGATCATCATCTGTTGCTATGGTCCATAAATCTGCCTCAGGCCTTCAGAACAAGCAGCGAAGGCACAAGGAGGGTGAAAAACATGGCAGCAATACTGTTGCTTTGACCAATCAGGTGCTGAGGTGAAGACACCAGAGCCTGTGAGCTGGCTGCAGACAGCATCAACATTTTCTCATTGTTTGATTGGCTGATCGGAGAGCAGGAGTCCGAACCGGGAAACTAGATTTCTGTAGCGTCTTACAAGCTAAATGCTGAGCAGACATTCTCAGAACTACAGGAAATTAAAACTTAGAACAAAAATACAGAACAGACTGGACTTTCAGTTGTAGCTTCATGGTGGTGATAGGAAAGGACTTATTGCTGAAACGGAAACGGGAGGACCTGTATGACAGAGGAGCCGGTGTTTTCTTGAGGAATAAGAGGAGGATGGAGTTTTTAAATGGATAATAAAAAGTTTCAGTGAGTAAAATATATGTTTAAATGTTTTATTTAGTTATCAGCTTATTATATAACCGTATTGATGCTGTTGTTAATGTAGCTGTGGCTGCAGTTGAGAAAACTTGTTAAATGTGTCGCTTCATTGATGACTTTCATTCTGACTTCATGAGACACCTGTCTGTGGGTCAGCTGAGACACCTGTCTGTGGTGCAACAGCATATTATTGGTGGTTTTTGTGGCCATGGCTTTGTGTCAAGTTGTACAGATTGTTTGTAAATTAGACAGGTTTCCCCTGTTTTGCATCCTACAGGGCTGTCATAGATTTTTTTATTATAAACTTATTAAGTTCAGAGCTCGCAGCCTCTCCCTCCCTGCTCTTTCTGCCGCTGCAGACTCCGCAGTCAGCAGTGCACCCCCGCCCCGCCCTTGCTTCTCTGCGTCCGGCAGGTCCGTTCTCTCCCAATTGAAGGCCTAGGTGTAAAATGCATGGCCCGCCACCGCTTTTACAGAAACAAACATCACAAAGTGCGTCACAGAGAAACAAACACTGAAAAACAATAAAAACAGAGCAAGCATAATGATGAACAATTTAAAAAAAGCTGATTGTGAAGTTATGTCATCTTCTGTGCATGCAGTTTGCCCCAATGATGAGGAGAATTCAAAAAGGATGCAGAATATAATGAAAAAGTCCATGCAAAACAAATTGAGCAAAAGTTAGAACTGAGCATTAAGATTTGCAGTGAGAACATAGCCTAAATTAGAGAAGCTGAGATGGTTTCGACATGTGCAGAGGCAGGACAGTGGATGTATTAGACAAGCGATGTTGTAAATGGAGCTGCCATATCTGTAGTCAGGTCCATGAGAGAAACCCAGGCATCCCTATCCACAGCAACACGTTCCAGCTCATCTTAGGGGACCTCAAGGCATTCCCAGGCTAGATAGGATACATAATCCCTCCAGAGAATTCTGAGTCTTTTCCAGGGCCACCTGCCAGTGGTACATGCTCGGAACTCCTCTAAAGGGAGGCGCTCAGGAGGCATCCTAAAAGGATGCACAAATCTTCTTTCTATGAGAAGCAGATTTACTCCCGAACTCCTCACCTTGTCTCTAAGGCTGAGCACAGACACCCTACGGAGGAAGCTCATTTCAGCAGCTTGTGTTCGGGATCTCATTCTTTCAGGTCATGATCCATTTCTCATGACCATAGGTAATGATGGGAATGTAGAGATATAAGTAAATTGAGAGCTTTGCCTTTCGGCTCAGATTTTTCTTTGCCACAACTGAGCAATATAACCCTTTAATTCCTGAGAAGAAAGCYCCAATCCACTGATACATACTTCATACTTTCACTCATGAACAAGATACATAGACATCCCTCCACTCAAATCTTTTACCCTTTTATTTCTTGTTTGTACCCTTTCTGATTTCCAACACTTCAGCTAACTATTGTTTAGAGCATGGGTGGGCAATCCTGGTCCTGGAGGGCCACAGCCCTCATGTTTTACTTGTTTCTCTGCTCCAACACACCTGATTTGAATGAATGATTAACAGGCTTCTGCAGTATGGAGGACCAAAACTGACATAATTAGAAATAAAAGCAGAATTATATAAATGAACTTTTAAATAAATACACTTAAAGGCACCAAATAGAGAACTTTATCTCCTGTTTTATATTTTAATTGACTTTCATATTTATTTTTCCAGGTT